TCTCTCTCTCTCTCTCTCTCTCTCTCTCACTTTGTCTGCCCATCCCCTTCACCGACTGTCACCCTTCTTTTTTTTGCTCTGTGCAGCGGTTCGTTCTCATCCGAGTCCTCCTCCTCTTCCTTCTCCTCTTCCCTCTCCACTCTTTGTTTATCGGTAGAGCGCGGTCGCCCCCTGTCTCTCGCGGATGAGGAAGCAGGACGTCCTCTGCCTCTTGTGGATGTCGAAGGTGGGCGTCCTCTCCCTCTAGTAGACGAACCCGCTCCTCGACTGCTCTCCCACCACGGGGAGGTCGATAAGCGAGCGGATCCCATGAGCCACCAGGAGCAGCCCCCAAACGGCCAAGCAGCTATGACGGTCTCTTCGGAACATAGAATGCATGCAGCTGATCCCCTTGCTTCTCTTCCTGCTGCTCCCGTTGTTCCTCTTCGTGGTCGTCCACCTGCTGCTCCTTTTGCTGGACGTGCTGCTCCCGCTGCTGTTGATCCTCGGGCTGGGGCTCCACCAAATGCTCGTCCTCCTGCTGCTCCTCCTGTTGCTCCTCGTCCCCACGCTGCTGCTGATCCTGGGGCTGCTGCTCCTCCTGCTGCTGCTCCTCCTCCTCCTCTTCCCCACGCTGCTGCTGATCCTTGGGCTGCTGCTCCTCCTGCTGCTGCTCCGTCTGCTGCTCCTCGTCCGGCTGCTCACCCACCTGCTCGTCCACCTGCTGCTCCTCGTCCTCCCCCTCATCGTCGTGCTCGTCATCCTGCCGCTCTTTGTGGCTGCCCTTTCGAGACCGGTCTCGGGCATGCCGTGCTGCAACCCTTTCGCTGAATCTTGTGCCTCCCACATATGGAGTGATGTCCTCCCTCCACGTCCACGACTTGTTGGAGTCGGACCGCTCGTCCTGCCACTCCTCGCAAGGAAAGCCATCACCCTCCTCCTCCTCCTCCTCCTCCTCCTCCTCTAAGTCCCTCGTGTTCCGAGAAACACGAGCAGCGACGATGGTGGTGCTGCCTCTCTCAGATCCCGCAGCCTCACGCCTGACGACGACATCGTCGTCCACGTCAACCTCACCAGTCGCCTCGCCGTCTAGATCCTCGTCCTCCCAATCACGCTGCAGTCCCAACCACCCTCCTTTCACTGTTGGACCGTCCTCCCCCCTGCTCTTCAACCTGAGGTTCCAGTGGGAGTAGACCAGTTTCTCCGTGCGCTTGTGCTTCAACTGGTTCCTTGTCTTCATCTGCACAAGGGCCCACGTGCTCCAGTTCCTCTCTGCAGGAGAGGACGTCGTCCATATTGAGAGCACTTTCAGCGCCAACTTCTTGATCTCCGGATGACCACCTCCGTGTGCCTCCCACCAGAGGACTGCGTTGTCCTTCTCTGCGCTCCTCAATGCTCCGGCTGATCCGAAAACCCCTCTGGCGAACTGGAAGTCGTACAACTGGTCTGTGCAGTTGTTGAACTTCTGTGTCCCTTTCTTGGCAACAAGGCGGTCCACCACGGCGTCGAACTGCGCGATGAGCTCCTCGTTGCTGAAGACGCTGATGTCCCTCAGTCGAGGGTCTTGCAGTCGTGCCACAGCATGTATAGGGCTCAACAACATGTCCGTCCTCTTTCCGACATCGGCCAGGATCTTCTCTCGCTCAACATCTGTGAGCGCGACACCGCGTACGCAGTTCTTCAGTGCCACAACTGCGTCGTACACACGGGACAAGCAGTGGATGTCCTTGTCAACCATTCTGAGCACCTCGCACGCCCCCTCCAACACTGCATGCAACTTCTTAATCTCAGCCCAGAACGCTCTGTTAGTGACAAGGTTTTCCACCTCTGCAGCATCCCTCCTCAAGTACGCTTGGCTCGCCATGTTTGTCCACGAGTCCGCCAACACCACACGGCGAAGAGCTTTCTCGCACGTGAGAAGTCGATCCAGCATCACATAGTGGGTGCCAAACCTCGTCTGCGCTGGCCGAAGGAGGACTCTGACTTTCAGGCCTTTTTGCTTTGTGAGCTCCGATCGCAATGCAGATCGTGGCAATCTGTGGTTCCTGAAGAACTTGACTACCTTATTCGCTGTCTTGATTGTGTCTGTTGCCCACGGCTGGTCGCCCACATCCTACATGAACAAGTCCATGCAATGTGCAGTGCATGGGATCCAGTAGATCTGTTGGAACTCTGGATTCTCCCTCAACATGGTTGCCGCACTCTTGTTGCCGGAGAAGGAGTCCGTGCAAATTGTCGTGATCTTGTCAACCCCGATCTCCCGAAAGAACCTCTTCCATCCCTCCACAACAGCAGCAGTGTCCTTCTCCTAGTCGCTGACGTCCTCGCACTTGACAAACAGAGGCTTTGATCGGCCTGCAAGGATGTAGTTGACCAAAGGCCGCCCACAAATGTCCGTTGTGCCGTCGGTGATGAAGGTGCAGCCTGTGATCTCCCAATCATCTCGAATTGCCTGCTCCTCCTCAGTCAACCTGTGCTGCAAGCCGTCAAGAAGACTGCACCTAAGAGAGTTGTACCCAATGGGGGGCAGGATGTTTGGCAGCCGGTTGCGGTCTGTAGCAAGTGTTTACGAATTTCTTGAAGCTCCTACTCCTTGACACGTTGAAGGGGATTGCATTTTCGACGAAAAACTCGATGCAGCTCTCGTCGATGTCCTTTTGTCGCGGGTTTTTGGCCCACCTAGCAATTGAGGTCTGCTTCGCCCTTCCATGTGTACGGACGTTCGCATGTGCTGCCTGAACACGACCACGGTCTCCCCCCGGCCCGCACACGCTTTGCAAGGCACCAGCCGCCCCCCCAACGTCCTCCACCCCGCTGCGAGTTTGTGGATGTGACTCTCCACCAGCCCCGACGTGTCTCTCTCCCTCCGCAATGTGATCCACTGTGACATCTCCCTCCCCGCTGCTCTGCTCCTCCTCCTCCGCCTGCTGCACGAACTCCAACAAGTCCGCAGGCAATTTCGCCCCGACAGCATGCAGCCTTCTCCAGATTGTCAGGGTCCCATGGGGGCAACGTGAAGTCTTCCTCTTCCAAATGAAGTGGTCGACTGCACGGGCTTGCCCACCTGTGAACTCGTGCCCGCACAACTTGCATTTGAAGCGGCGCCCCCCCCGAGTACTGTCGTCCAACCTCTCACCCGCTGCCACCCATGTCCACACACAATGGGTCGACCGGAATGTCGGATCCTCCACGAACAGTCCCCTCTCACCACGCGAAGACCCCGGGCGGCCATCTGCTGCTGAACTGCTTCCCGCCATGACAAAAAGGCATTCGCTGTAGATGTGGCACAAGCTGATGCCGAGATTGCTGCAGATGTTGATGCTGATGTGACAGCCACTGCAGGTGCGGATGTGGCAGCCACTGCTGATGCTGATGTGCCAGCCACTGCAGTTACTTCAGATGCTGATGTGCCAGCCACCGCTGCAGCAGGTGCTTATGTGGCACCCGCTGATGCAGCAGGTCCTGATGTGGAACCCGCTGACGCGAAGGTGGTAATGTGGCACCTGCCCGCGCAGCACCTGCTGTTGTGCTAGCCACTAATGTCGCACCTTTGGATGTGGCGCTGCAGATGCCGCTGCAAGGGTGCCAAGCCGCATGTCGTAGTTGGTTGCCGCTCTCTCTCTCTCTCTCTCTCTCTCTCTCTCTCTCTCTCTCTCTCTCTCTCTCTCTCTCTCTCTCTCTCTCTCTCTCTCTCTCTCTCTC